AGCAAGGATACCATTCTCACAATTGAAGAACATATAGAAATCAAAACAACTGTCAGACGACAAAGTCAAAATTTTTAATACGAACGTCAAGACAGTTCTACTGTATGGAGCTGAAACGTGGAGAACTACTACAGTCGTCATCAAAAAAGGTACAGGTATTTATGAACAGTTGTCTACACCAGATACAGAATGTCCATTGACCAGAAACCATTATCAACAGCCTATTGTGGGAGAGAACAAACCAGATTCGAGCTGAGGAGTAAATTAGGAAAAGACGGCGGAGGTGGATAGGATATACATTACGAAAATCATCAAACTGCATCGTGAGACAATTGCTAACTTGGAGTCCTGAAGGCAAAAGGAAATGAAGCAGTGAAAAGAACATACTGAATCGGAAGTTGGAGTAAGACATCAAAAGGATAAGTGGCAAGTGGGAAGGAGAACTCAGGACTGAGTTGGTAGATTTTCTAAAGATATGTAGTAGATTTCCAGTTTTCTAACTGTTATATACTATCCGAGTAAAGTTCATTCATTCGATTCCTTTATTGTGGTTCTGACTGGTTTGGTTGTTTGACGATCAATTGGTTTTTTATATGGTTCATTTTCTCCCTGAATATTTCCCAGTCAAAAATTCCCAATTTTAGTGTTGACCTTTTATTATATTTGTCTCGAGTTTAGATTGTCTATAGAATACTCTTTGGGTGATTTTGAACATTAGAGAAAAAAAACTACATTTTTAGCGTTTAAGTACTGACGCATATGAATGTATGTCACTTTAACTCGGTTTCAGTGTCACCAAACATATTTTGCATAATAACTTAAAACCAATTTATTGTCTGTAGCATATTTTAGGAACCAGTATAGTCCACCTACATGTAGTTGGTCTATATCTTAATGAATTTTAGCCAATAGTCGTTTATAGTTTATAAAAGATATCCTCTGTTTATTGTTGAGTCATTTTTAAGTCAACAATTTATTTGTCTATTTCAATATTCTAGAGCAAGTGTTCGTTCCCCTATCTAACTAGTAACTGTTTCTAAAAAAAACATTGTTGGTCGGCAATTTCGCAATACAGTAAGCAAACAATGAATATATGTACAAAAAAAACACAATTATTATTCAATGTAGGATTTTTAATTTAATGATAAATTCATTTTGATTTCTACGTCAGAAGAATTAGACAGAGGTTAAATTCTATATGGAACTAAAAATAAAGTTCGTAAGTAGAATAACAAAGAGCCTTCCAGAAGGATTATATATTGGCTATACCTGATTCGTTCAATTTAGTTAAATTGCTTTATTTATTGTGTTCTACTGTTTGAAGTAGCTGTTACTCAGGTTCTAGACCTACTTGGAATAAACGTAGTTAGTTTTTGGATATATTTTTCATCTAGCTAACATGCTTCAGGCGGATCGATTTCCACTTATTACAGTTTTGATAGTAAATACCTCAGAAACTGTATGTATACTCGGCAATACTAAAATGAAGGTGTATTATATGGCCAAAAATTTGGAACGCACATCAGAATAAATGACATTTATTTAAAATAGACAAAATACTGTTAACAAGTACGAGGCGAATCAATTGATTACATTCCTAATACAATTCATGTCATACTAAAAATACAATTAGAATAATTAATTAGTAATCATTAATAAATGTGCTTTCTGTTAGGATGTTCGCTAATTTGAAGGGATCAAACATAACCCAGAGAATTTAATAAGTGTTGATGAAGTGTCAAGACAAACAATACAAAGCAAAATAACGCCAATAGAATGACAGCTTTCCTCAGTCGAAACACAAAAGACCAAACAGTTAAGGTCAGAACTCATGGCTTCAATTTCGATAAGTTTAAAGTAATAGAAAATAAAGGGATGTAGTATAAATGATTCATAGCAATAGGATACACTCTTCAGTGCAGGGTAAGATGAATGATAGTGGAATGGAGAATAAAGTTTTGAAACTGAAGTATACGGGGACAAAATTTGGAGAATTTTATTTTTTTGAGAATATATTCAGAACTAAAAGTTACATAATTCCTCTTCGCTTCATGTTTTACTGTGGATCTAAAATGACTCAATATACTGGTTTATAATTCCAGTGCTTTAAGTTTCAAACTAATTCTAGTTTTCTGTTTACTTAACTGTTCTAGCTATCAAAAAGAATAGTAGTATTGGTTCTGAAGAGCACGACTCAAAGAATGGTGGTTTAAAAATTGATTTTGGTTCAACTAAGTTCTAGGAAACAACTCACTTGCACTCAAAAACTAAAAACTTCCAACGTCATATTACTCTGCTAAAAAGCGACTACCGGTTGTATTATGGGACACCACAACTTACATCTAAGCGCATTTACGTATGCATTGTCATTGTACACCTTAGAAAATTATGAGTTTTGAGGGATACAAACGTACAACTTAGGAACGGTAAGTCGCAAGTTCAAACACTACTCGATATGAAGTTTTAAGAAGCTACAAAGTGTACTCTTAACCACACAATATATGTAGTTGCAGTTCCCATCATAATTTAAGTCAATAATTGTAGACAGATGAGTTTTAAAAAGATGACTGTAAACATGAACCGAAGTTCTGAATACTTTAGTTCTAATATACGGTAGTTAAGACCTCCAGCAAGCAAAAACGAAAATTCTTTTCTTTGATATTAAGACTAATTATCACATAGTCTACCAATTTAACTGTTGACCTTGAGGTTCAACCCTGACATTTGTGTTTAAGTTAGAAAAAGAACCAAGTCATATGACCTATTAGTTATAAAGTTAAATTAGTGAGATTTTCAGCAACTGGTATTAAAACTTGCTCTGCAGTCTGTGTAAGTCCATGCTGGAGGAAATAATCAACGTATGAAATATTTAAAACACATTAGGTCAAAGACTAGTCTGTACTAAGTAGCCGTCCAATCATATCCAAAGGTTGAATTTGATTTACTGTATGAATGAGTCATTTGATGTGTGTATTAAGAGGATATCCAGTGAAACAGCTTAAAAATGTCAGTTTTGCATAAAGGGAAAAAAGGTTAAGGTCACACACAGGAAATATGCAGTATTTATGAAGTTGTTAGCTAGACATCCCCCATGATTATATTATATTCAGATAGATAACCTATGATCTTAAATATCAGCTCTAAGTGAGATCGAATAAATTGCACAGATAAACTTCATCATGTGACGAAGCATTTTCACTGAAGGTTATCAGTTTAGGCAGTGTTACTATGACGGTTAGTGATAACAAAACAGGTTACATGGCAAAATTTCGAAATAATTAATTAGTGAGAAGAAACATCAACCGTCGAGATCGAACAATATGTTCACGAAAGGAAACTGAAACAAGAATACGATGTAATCCCACGAAGTAATTTCAAAATGGCACGATTATTTAATTACACAGAAGTGATCTATTTCAGACGTAAAATACAGTTATTGATGTTATATCTGATAGTTACTAACCATCTATAATGGAATTCTGAGCAATAGTTTATTGCTACACAGCAATATTCAGAATGGAGCGAAAAAACGAAACTGAAAGGCGATTCTCTGGGAGATCGGTGAATATGTTTTGTGTGTGCATCTATTGAATGGTTGATTTATAACCTTTTCCGAATCGTGACTTTCTAACTAATATACTATAAACTGTTGCAGCATCTCTTACTGTTCATAATTTATGATACTTTGATCAAAAACATGTTGGTCATCTTGTGTCACGTGTCCCAGTTATGTACATGTTGGATTATTATGGTGGTCTCATATTTTATGTGCATAACCGTGTGAATTTCTAGATCTTAATTACATAGAATGAAAAGAGATATATGGTTGGCTTTCCAATTGCTTCTATTAGCAACTAGGACTGAGCAGTAATATTGTGTAGGCTACGGAAACTGTGTATACAGAAAAACAATAACAGAAAAGAACGTCAAATCATCCTGCTATCAAAATCGCATTTTCTTAGTGAAATTTTTGATAGAGATACTAATTTGATTGACAGGGTGGATACACTTGATTCGGTGATAAACCCTTGAGAGTAATTGATATGAAACTCTAGGATTTCGATTGGTCTAAGTGTGTGGATAACACTTTATACGACAAAACTTAAGGATCATTTCCTATGAAGTGAAATGAGTCAGAATTAAAACTTCCGCACAAAATAGCCCGAGAAAGGACCTCCCCATCCTGATGGTATATCTAAACGCCAAAGTCGGAATAGACAACACTGGATATGAAGATATCATGGGACGACACGGACCGGGAGAAAGGAACGAGAATGAGGAGAGATTTGGAAACCTATGTGCATTCAATAAATTGGTTATAGGCGGCACAACATTCCCACACAAACGCATACACAAAGCCATATGGGTCTCACCGGATCACAACACGGAGAACCAGATAGATCATATTTGTATCAATAAAAAATTCAGAAGGACAATGGCGGACGTGAGAACCAGGAAAGGAGCTGACAAAGCTTCAGATCACCACCTGGTTGTGACCAAGATGAAACTGAGGTTAAAGAAACACTGGACAGCTGGGGAAACGGCAGTACAATGGTTCATTACAGCCTTCCTACGAGAAACTAGCTAATGAGGAAATTAGGAAAAGATGTTGGAAGTGGATAGGACATACATAACAAAAACCATTAAATTCCATCACAAGGTAAGCCCTAATTTGGAATCCTGAATCGGGACGGAAAAGGGGAAGGCAAAAGGACACGATGGAAGCAGACATCCAGAGGATGAATTGTCCAGGATAGGGTTGGATGGGGAGTGCTGGTGGGTGGCTTATACTCCTCGACGAGGGGTAACAGGCGTAAGTAAGTAATACATCTTCAACATAGCGAGAATCCTTGAAACTAACGAAACACAGGTTATAATTTTCACTGAGTAAACTACAAACTGAGCTAATAACGTAATAGCATTAGATGTAATTAGAAACAGCAGCTATTCGTAAAAAATTGATCGAACATGTAATAAAAACCGAAGATAAGTGCAGAATAATATAAATGAAAAATGTGTATTGAAATATAACAAGCAAAACAAAAGTAGTACAATCGGATGACTGTAAGATAGAAAGAACTGCAATATAGTGCCAAAACTAGTGTTATGGATCGTAAGAAATACATTACACGAACAAGAGTAAAAAATAATACAAGTACTGATGTTTATAACTGTATAAACAGCACACCAGGGATAGAGAATGTTAAATCATGCCTTTTGACACCTATGAAGTCAAAATATACTTCCTATCAGTTTGTGATTTGTTCACTTGATGAGTATGCTTCATCTGCTAACTCAAAATATCTTACAGCCAGACGACCCTGTAGTGAACCAGACGCAATTTCTGCAGCTTGAGTGAATAGATCTCCTGAAAGCAAAATAAATTAAAGTGGGGGGAAAAGGTTTTAAGTCATCTTTACGTTATATTGCTAAGATTGAAATTTATTTTGAACGCGAAAACTTGACAGGAAATCCAAAAACAAAATAAATTATATGGTTACAATGTAAGTTCTTAGAGGAAAAAAATAATACAATTAAGGTTAGAAAAATAAACGCTATTGATTGCATTTTATTCTTCAGAATTTTACGTCTTAAACTTGTAGGGATAGACTGTTATGCCAATGTCCTGGGTGAACACTTACCCACAGTAGAAGTTTTAATGAAAACTACAGCGACTACATAGACGAATATTAATTAGTCTTTAAGCTATAAAGTAAACGCGGAGAACATTAAGTAGGTAACTAATTTTTAACACTATAGGCATAGCCTTAATTATTCATAACGGAGGAACAATTAATTGGCAGATATTTGATGAAAATATTAAGAAATAGACTGAACCAAACTGTTATACAACTTATATCTTCGTTAGATCTTTTTCAAGCCTATACATCTAGAGAAGACCGTTTGTTTGAAAATCACTGTGTAAAAAATACAACGTACGATTTGACATACATATAGAACAGTCTAAGTCTCAACACTACTTCAGTACACAGGAATTTAACAGAAGAAAAGAGGAAGAAATAATGATTATATTAACTACAGTGGTAAACTAAAAACAACAAAAAAGTCGCTTCGAACGAATAAACTGATCTATGACACTTTCCGATTTCTAAGCAATAGTATTTGAATAAAGCGAGAGCGACTTGAAGTTAGGATTACTAGTAGTATTATGAACAAAATTTTCCATACATTAGTTAATCAGGTGGAGTTCGAAACGAAGGGAAGTAGTGTTTATAAGTGAGATGACTGAACACTTAATGTACAGTGAACATTAAGTAGATATCAAAAAGGCATTCAAGATAATAAGCAGAGGCTACTACCATCAAGTGTTCTCGACCAGACCTCTGCACACATTAAATGTGGTAAACTAATTGCCATGCAAAATAATTATAGTGGTGTAACGTTTATCTATTACATAAGCTATCCATTTTATATTAACTAGGTGGCTTGACTTTAAGACCACTAATTTGTTGACGTTTTTTCATTTTATTTGCTGATCATTACTTATGACAAAACACAATTCATTATATGGCTTCACTTTTAACATATAAATACTGTTCACTCTTGACAACTGTGTAGAATATACCTTGTATTCTTCCCATTTCCCATGTCTTTCTGTTTTGCTTTAAACTTCGTTTTATTGATTAAGGAATGAACAACGTTGTTTATAATAATATTAGTTATCGTAGCTTCAAGTGATTCGTACCTGATGAGAAGTCTCGAAATAAAATGAATTCATTTTATTCTGTAAATCATGCTATTCTCACTTTACTTGATTTTCTTAAAGCAACAAGGTGGACGAAATAATAATTATTACTAGTATATTGTATTCATTGACAAACCCTACTACTTTGTTATACAGCGCAAAATATCAAACTTTACAAGTACAAACTTACCAGCTAAAGAAAAATTTTGCTTGAGACCGAAGCCACCGACAGAATACATTTCAGCCATACGAGCCAAGATACGATAAACAGGCAACAAATCTTCAGCAGCATCATAGTGACCTTCAGCATCTAAACCTTCATCTGTACATCCATCACTGGAAGCGGATGAACCTACCGCGCTATCGACTGCTCGTTTATACCACCCTATAGCTTCGAACCAAGAATCAGGGGATATGGAGGGAAGTAATGAATGACTATCGTTGTTAAGAAACGATTGTAAGGCAGGAAGCATAAATATGTCACGCGAATTTGTTATGAAGTTGAGTTGATGTCCTGGATTTAGGAAATTAACTGACAAATCTAGATAGCGAGCGAGTAGGATCATGCATCGACGATCACCACCTTCTGCAGCACGCCAAAGATGATCGATACCAATACGTATATCACTTGGATCCGGCTGATAAGCGAAAGATTTATTAATAAACATAAGGTTAAGATGGTGGAGTATTTAAATATTTGTTAATTGTATGTTTGAAGGACCCTAAATCAGCTAAAAGTACCTAAATACTGATTTTTAGAATCAACATAAATTACATTTACAAAATGAGATATGAATACAACTTCAAGATAGAAAGCAAACCTAGTTTACAGCAGTCGTCCTTATCACAAGAAATAAAATACAGAAAACCTGTAAGACTTCGATTTCACGCAATAAGCTACAGATTTTAGTAATAAGTGTAGCTATAACTATGTGGACCAGTGGTTTAGGGAACAAACTTCAAAATTAGCAAGTTTATATGACATATAATTCTTAACGTAACGGGCTTTGAGTGCTAAGGCTACATGTAGAAATTCCACATGGATTACTATATTACGGGATAAAGATACGTTAGGTAATGAAACTGATCATACTGAGATGACTTTCATCATCGTTGTCAGAAAAAAAGAACATGACAGTTAAGCAAGATCTCTAAAACTGGATCACTAACAAAGCGACAATTGCATACAACTTACAAAATTTACTGCATACATACAGGTTCTTTTGACCCAGGATAAAGATGGGATTATTACGACTAAAACTTCAGTCTATAAATAAAAAATAACATTATCTTAGCATCGCCCCTAGAAGATAAATGGAAGTCCAACTTAAATGAGTTCTGTTACAACCGTATGATATCCATTTGAGTAGGTAACTTATATGCTACGAGTGTTAAAGTTACTAGAAATAAACCTGAAAGCAAAGGTATTTGAAGTAAACACACTGGTAAAATGGGTAACTGGGATATAGTGTAAAATCATATTGTAGAAAATTATAACGTCTTACATTGAGATACTTTGTTTCCAGTCTGTCGGAAACTGAAACTGAGAGATCTGTGATTGGTATTCCACAATTATGAATATCTCACAAAAATTGAGTTAAGAAATAAAATAACTTACTTTTATTGGGCACTCCAGTAGCAGCTGAGTTGGTAAACCAAGATAATAATGTGCCATGACTATCATGGCTTCCAGACAGCCTAGCTGAGCAGCGTGACTTTCATGGAATAGGACGGCTGACCAATCGATCAAAGTTACTGGGTCATTATTTGCTTCGTTATGTGATTCTTCGAGCTCACTAACTTCCCAAGAGTCCTTGTTGAAAATCCCTTCACCTCTTAATCCTACATGTGACCATTGACCTTTATTTGGAATGAAACGTCCAGCTTCATGAAGTCTAGCAAGTTCATGATGTATCTGTTTTTTTTTCATAAAAAAGAAAGCTCCACTTTTTAGTTCATTACAAATAATTGGAATAACAGTTTTAATGAGTTAGTAGTACAAATCTACTAGAGGGGAAAAACTTAAATGCTCAGGGAAAGAAAATGAAAGATGATGAAACCAGAAACGTTTATTTGGACTAAACAATCTTTACTGAAATCTAATTCATTGTTTGCTTCTTAATTATGTACTTACATTTTATTAATACATTTCTTGTAAACGATCTAAAATTGTGATATTTTCAACATCATAAAAATTGTGTGGTTCAAATATTATTACTTATTGATTGAATTTGAGTTCACCCTTCAAACTTTATAATCATGAAGAAAGGTAAAGATAGAAAGAAAATTCTTCGAAAGATTTTACCAAATTTGATTCATATATGTTTTTCAGTGTTCCAGATATTTCAGTAAGAAGTATAAAAGTGATTACCATTTGAATTAAACAAAAGAAGCTGGGACAAGTCTTTCTAGTTTAATCACTTCAATGAGATAAGGAGAAAACATAAACATTTGATTTAGAGTATATGTTATAAATATACAAAACAAATATGACGGGCCTTTAAGCTGAATGGATATTTAATGAATGTACCGAAGACCACACAATGTCCCTTCATTTTGTAGACAAAATTATGGGGATTTTCAGAAGAATAACTCACAACACATAGACTTAGACGGTGTTAGGCATGAAGTGGTTAGGAAATATTCATCATTAGAATAGAGTTCCATTTTAGTGTGAAAGTTTCCGAAATGAATGAACAAAAAGGGGATCCTCACATAGTTTCTGGAAGTATAACAACTAACCAATCCCAGATTAGCTGATAAAGTGTTAAGACGACAACCAGTGGACAGTTTGCTTAAATAATGTGGTAACATAAATTATATTTTGATTTTCATTATGAGCATTCATTGAAAGAATGATTATTTGTCAGATAACTTTATCAGGAATATTTGACCGAATTCCAGGAAACTTTGGATTGTGTATGATAAGTTTCATTAAAACAGGAATATACCTTATTCTTTAATTCTTATAAATTTAATTTGGACTTACTTGCCCAAGAATGGAATGGCCAATTTCTTGATCCAAGTTTGTAGGATGATCGGCACAACTGGGTTTGTGATTTTCATGCATTAGTTGATACAACAAATTTCCTGGCACGCGATGACATTCTTCTGCATCTACATCACTAGATTCACTGATATTACGCTGTCTTTTGGAAATAAAGATACCACGATTGGAAATTGAATAATTTGATCCCGTAGGAAAGGCTTCATCCACTAATGGATGAGATTCTAAGGACCGCATACCCAGGACATTAGATTGAGATATACGTACTGGTAAATCAACTGAGGTAGAATCACCACAAAAATCCATACAGTTTTGATCGAATCCAGAAGCGATTTCGTGAGATCTACTAGCACGTAGGTCGGAACAAGGTTGGATTAAATTAATTCGTCCAACATATCCTGAGTCACCAGATGCTGCACGATTTCTCGAATCCGGTTGCTTGGGGACAACCGAACTGAAATTTTGCATTGGTTGTGGACAACTCTGTCCGTGACCAGATATATTTAAATCAGGTGAAAGTTGGCGGCTTGATAGCTGGAAAGGGGGATTTAGGCATGTTTCACGAAGCTTCAGAGAGTCAGAGCTGTCGAACGAAAGACCGTCACCTACTGAATGGAAAGATGATACGCAATCCGAACTTTGTCCCACAGATTTAGGATGATCACAAAGTGAGACACTAGCACAACGACGACGAGTTTCAGAAAGTGCCGACATGAGCATGCTCTCAGATGAACGAACAACTGTCGGACCATATAAGTGAGACGGAGATTTACAGGACATCTGATTATTTAGACTGATTGTGCGTCGACGAAATTTCGATTTGCGAAACATCCCATATATACTCAGGTCAATCTAAAAATGAGGTAGTGACAAAGAAAGGATTGTTTTTTCAGACTTTATAATTTTCATAGGTATTTTGTCTTATGCTAATTTTGATCTTAAGTGAAGTTTAAAGTACAGATGGTGATTATATGTTTTTAAATAATTAGTATATTTCTCATTATAAACCAACGTGAAGTGAATGAACATTAAGAAATGATAAAAGGATGATACTTTTTCTAGTCTGATGTATTCCACGACTAGGTGTTAGCAGGATATAGATTTGATTATATTTTCTAGATAGGATCAAAATGAAACACTGACTAGGCCATTTTTAGCCGATCAGAGTTGGTGGAAAATTGCAGAAGACTAGGATTTTTCTATGAAGAATCATAAATACACTGATATTCTACTGCATGAAACTTGCAATTTTGTTTAGAATATAATTATGTTCCTATTTAAGCTGTATTTTGATTTGGGGACCAGTCGAGTGAAGTAGTGTCTGAGGTGTACTAAACAATAGAGGGAGTGGGAGACTTAACAGAAGGATAACAACTCAATTAATGAGCTTAGTTCTAGATAATTCAGTGGTCATTCAATAAGCTTTTATACTACATTTTACATCAGCTATTTTCGAATACAGACAGTTATGCATAGAAGCATGAACCAGCTTCATGTAAACTTTCACTTTTCGACTTCCATCAACGTAAATAATTTTCACCGTTACTTATCAATCAATATCTAGACAAGTGAAGGATAGCTAAAACGACTTAGTTATGTGAGTTCCAATTATAAGTACAAAGCAGTTAATCTACTTTTAACTCCATGAAATATGACAACCAATCAAGTGAAAAAGTAGATATTAATTACAAGGAATTTTGTAATAAGTAAATTGACAAAAAATAAGGTAATCTTACTTGATTGACTTCTTTTTCTGAGGGGTTAGGTGGAATTTGGTCAGTTTGTTGACACTGCATTGGCTCATCTAATTCAGAGAGTGCCAAGTCAAATTGGGCCAATCCTAGCCATTTACATAAAGGATTACATCTATGGCTATGAAAGAATAAAGCCATACCCCGCGTACCTAGATTGCCGTCATTGTAGCCCACTCCATCTGATGTATGAATTTGAGGATCAGTGTACAAGTCTCCAACACCTTGGATATCTACTACTAACAATCGGTGACCAGAACGTTCAAATGTGAAGTGGCTAAAGGTCTAGTAAGAAATGAACATTTCACAAGTAAGCAATATGGTCATGTTCTTAAGAACACTGATTAAATCGTTTTGTTTGAAATATATGTATATCTTTATTTTTTCACAAATTTCCACTCAGGTGATTCCTACAGAAATTTAGTAATGGTATTTTGACTAAATGCGAACTAGGCTAGCTAGTCTAGAATCATACATACTAATGAGATACATCTATCATAAGGCAACAGCATACAGGAGTCGAACTAAGATATATTCGACATAACGACAGTCCTACTAACAATTAAATGAGTTTCCGCATAAAGTGCGCTCAATGCGAACTGTAACCCTCGACCGCAGTGAATGGATACGTTAAATTAAAGAGATGTCTGGGTACTTTGAATAAGTCATAAACCATTTAGTTGGATAGGCAAAACCATAACTGCCAAGTTATCAACGGTGCTATTACTTAGATGACCATGTGATCGATGTTAAGAATTCATATGATAAGGATTTCCTTGTCACAACCGGATCAGATGATGTTAGCTACAGTACGTAGAATGTAATTGAGGCAGATGATAAGGATAATAAATGACATTTGACTACTGGTCGAGTTGGATGAACGTGAGATCACTAGGGTGACTAACTAAAGAAGCGTCTCACCTAGGTGTTCAATGATATGGTCGCCGTAATGCGTTCCAGCCTTGTTGAGGTTGGTCAGTTTGTGTCCGATGGAGCCTATTGGCTTTCCTGGAAATGGTCTTCGTCTTACAATGTTCACGAACCCACTGCATGAATATGAATGAGTGGAAAAATCGATATCCGCAGGTCTTGGAGCGCGGGCGTTGCACCAGAGGCAAGTATAGTATACATACATACCGCTAACATTGGTATACTTACACTATGAGCAAATATACGTTACATGCACACCAGTGACAAATTTCCACTCGTGCGTCCCATAGCATACTTATAGGTATATACACATACCTGGGAGGGTAGACAGTTATCGCTCCCTCTGAACGTATTTACTACAACCGACTGTCCCTTGCGTATTACATGAATATCACCGGTGCTAAGACTCGCCCCTGCACTTCATGCCATACACGTAAACATAAACACTTTCAGAGAGGTTTAATGGTCACCTCTCCCTAGTATTTGCTACCATCTTTGTTGTATTTAACCTGAAGGATACGGCCGCTGATTGTATTAGATATAGGGCAAATGTTTTAACTTACGTTCCTTGTGCGAGTCCGTCTGACATATACTTACATACGTGCATACAAAAGTCGAGACTCATGTAATTTAGATACGTATTCATACACATTAGACAGCCCGCAAGATATTAGTGAACCCCGAAATCGGAATCTAATTAATCCGGTTCATAGCAGAATGGTGGATATATCCGGTCTCGCCGACTACCAAAATTGACTAACAAGGCTGCCCTTACTACCCAACAGCGCCGTGGGCGCTGAGTCGGATTTTGAGATGGCCGCAATACATGGTCAGACAACTTCAAGCAAATATGCCCGCTAAAACTGAAAAAATAAGTATAGATGCTGTATCGCCACAAAGTAGTCAATTTTGTGGTTAGTCGCCACTACAGTAGTGTACACTGGAAAAGCAATATGTCATTTTAGGTTTTGTAGTAACACAATGCATTTACAATTGTATAGTTACTAATAGGCCAAATACTTAAGCGATATTTGTAAAAACAAATCACCAAACCCTCAAAGTTTATGAACTTAAATAGTTTTTCGGAAATTATGCAGATTAAAACTAAAGATTGAAGAAATGTCAACTAGTTGACCTAAACCATTGGTAACACATAAGCTATAGGACTAGGAGGCCTTAGATTTAATTGTATAAATAACAGAAAATGGACACTAGCTGGAGGGTTCTACAATAATCGCTGGGTTTTAGTGGTTCTTAGTAATATGATGACTGCTTTAAATAAATAGATTTGTCTAGCACACATACCTGTGGGGTATTACGTAAGCACTCATCAACGAAGCCAGAATTTGAGTTGTATTTACGATATTCTCCTTCCATAAAGCGTTCAATATGAAAAAATACTGGTGAAAAATCTAATTGATCACTACCAACAGAACTGTCAGGAGACAATTCGAGAATAGACAGCTGGAAGATATCCACCTTTGAAATCAAATATAAATTTACTGATAGCGAGTTATATCAACGTAGAACTCAGTATAAGTTTAGCGATCCATGTTGTTACGATTTGTAAGAGCACAGGAATAAATAAAAAAACGTGGTAGAAATTATTGCAGTACCAAAGACGGAGACACGATTTCACCGAATTCCAGTAATCCTTTGAAAACAAATACAATGTAGTACCTACGATATTTCCCGTTCTTAATGGACAAGTCGCATAATCGAAAAATACCCAGAGGGAACTACCGAGCAATATAGTTCTTTATTAGATAGATAACTTATTTATTTATTTGAACATAGAAATATTGGCACAAGGGGGCATCAGATACATATGCGACTTACTATAGTTCAAGTTATCACCAATAGACAACAGGGATTCTGTGTACCTGATGAAATATAGTCAGTAATCAGAATATCGCGGATGGTGCAAATCTCAAATAAGTGGCTTTCGTACTTATAAAACGAATAAAAAGTCCGTCATAATACATGAGAAAATGAAATATTTTGGAAAGAGCTACATAAAGAGGATGTTGGAGAACATGCTTTGAGCGAAGTCAGTAATTACTATCATCTTCGTAAACGGAAAATAAATAATCAGACTAGGAACTAATTAAATACAAATATTAAATGTGTTCAGATATTCTGAAGAAATGAAAAACGTACCTTTTTGGGAGGATTATGGCGATTGAAAGCTTCACCCCATAACTTTGCTTCCATTTGTAGACGTACATCGTCAAAGTATATCTGTTTGTCTGTAGGGGCTATGTATCGCTTGGCCACATAATTTGACGTATAGTGCCAGTCATTAGTACCTGATGCTCTCTGACTCTGTTTTTTCCTACAGAAGTTATTGAGAAAGCAGTCAGTTTTGATGGTGAAATAGAAGATTGCGTTTTGTTAGACTATGTTCAGTAGTACGAATAAAAATAGGTGAAAGTACGGAACGTGTAGACATAAGAGTGCAAACACTAAATATAAACGTACATTCTAAAGCATTCCCGCATTGCTCCACGGTCGAACGGTTCTGATTCCATTTTGATCTGCACTTCATCCACAACCCATTTCTTCTTGATTGCGCTATACCGGTGTCTGAGGGCGCATCGAACAGGACATTTATCCCATGGTAGATTGCTCCATGAGTCCAGGTCTATTGACTTAACCTTCTTGAATGCTCGTTGCCATAGAATAACTAAACAAATGAAGGAAGGTTGTGCGATCACAATCCAAACGCCAAATCACTCGTTAAAAAAATATCATTAGCAAACATGATTTTTCAAAGCACGAAGTATTTTCAAATACATTAAAAACTACTGTGATCGAGACCTTTGGAGTCGAATGGATACGTGTGCCAATAGAGATGTACTTTTATGTGAGTCATATAAAATCTATGACAATGTTGTGAAAATTTTAGTGAAGTTAGGCACATGTTGACAAAATTTTTGCCGATCACACCATTAAAACGAGAGCAAAATATTATGAAACACAAATCGCAGTAATAGCAACTTGAATAAACAGGGAAAAGATACATACGAGCATTTTGTTGTTCACTCATAGAAGTGTCCGACTGTAGTGTTATTTCAGGGATGTTTGAATTATCACCAGTATCCTCATCAATATAAGATCCCATTTCGTTAGATAACTGCACCAATATTCGCTTGGGTAACTGAAACTGAACATCCGACAGGACTACGTAGCCTTAGATACGGTCCAAATACTAGAAACTTTGGAAAAGACAGCGATTAGAAAACATCGCAATAAAAGTGTAATCACTGATAATATACACTTATGTTGGTTTTAAGAGGTTAATATGAGTGGGAAGTGTCGAGTTTCGAACCATCTACCTCTATTGATAAACTAGAAGGGAGGCTGAACTGTCACAGTACCCCTAATCACGGCGATCAACAAGGGTCACCAGTTCTTATAAGTGACGATCAATCTTGAGCGTTTACCTGTTTATTAACCTTTATAACCTTCAAACCACTATGATCAGTAAAAACGTGGGGCTAAAGAGTATATAGAAGGTGGGAATGTGAGGAACAAACATATGCACTATATCATCTTTAACTCCATATGGTTGCTTTTAGCTTCACACGTTTGTTGACGAAGTATTTATTGAAATTCATACAACTATTTACTGTATTTCATAATGTAACCCCTATTAATAAATACTTAGGACTTTTAGGTACTCAATATATTATCGAACATTCATCATAAGTTGAGCTAGGGTTACTTACTGGTACGTAATCTGCGGTAACGACAAGGCACTAATAATCACGAGAACACAACTGAAAGTCCAATTGCGACCTGAACAAATGCTATTTCGTGAAACATTTAAACAACTAGAATTACTCCAGCCCAGAAAACTCATTCCGGTCTTGCTTCACATAAACATGTACTATTAGAGTACACCAATATGTGGCAACTACTTTCCAGACATCCTTTTAAACGATCGCGATATCAAGTATACAGTGTTTTTTACGCGCATGTTCCAAAAAGTCCAGTCACTGCTTTTTTGTTCTTATTGCATCGGAAAGCATTCCTGGTCTGCTTTCACTCTAAATATTTCGGCTATGCGTAGCAATACGTTCGACATTATATGCCGTCTTACTCCGATTCAGTCATTTAATCTGTAGCGGTAAATAAATCCCTAAAATAAATAGCTCTGTAAGTTTTCGACATTGGATGCTGACCATATGTTTTAGTGGACTCATCTAGCTGAAGGCGCTCGGTCAGGCATCTGCACCAGATCACGTGTGGTAACGCCGTGCTCAACATCAACCGCAACCGCTAGCCAGATTAGATCAGAGAATTCCGATATATTGGTCATCGCCAAATATACTCTTCCGATCTCCTCGACTCTGTCTTTTGATTTCTCTGGGCGGGAACGAAATATATTAGAAGGTGTTACTGGTAGAAGCGTTGTCAAACACTGAATACCTGTGACATCATCAAATCTATTTGTTTCCTGAAAATATTGCTACACCTCGTGACCAAGCAGTCGAGTGATTATTGAATATATATGGGAATGAAAATTACCTCTTGTCTTCGCTTGTCGTTTATGCCATTATTTTCAGCCACAATATGCTGAACATGAGATAACTGGGCATATTCATATTCAACAATTAACACAGTGGAAAGATCAACAATGAAGAAGGCAGGGAGTATTAATTAAATAAATCGGATGGCGTGGTTCAGCCCTGCAGGCGCGGTCACTCTTGTGTAACTAATCTCTTTTATTCATACTAAATATGTTGTTCTACCTCCAGAAGTAGGTAACATCACATTGGTGGTTCTTACGATAGGACGAGACAGGATAAACAGTGACATGATTTCCACGTAATATCTCATAGATTGGGTAGTTACGTCATGACAAATCTACAACGTTAGGATTTGGTCCATTATTGTTATAGTACTAATAACAAAGTAGATAATAATTCTACAGAATCACTGCCACTATAATAAATAAGGTACAATTATTTATAAACAGTTGCCATCAGTAGCAACATATTACGGAAAAGTACAAAGCAGCTACAAGTTGAAGAAGTTAGAAAAAGGCTCTGGAAGTGGATAGGACATACATTACGGAAACCATCAAATTTCATCACAAGGCAAGCATTAACTTGGAGTCCTGCAGGGAAAAGGAAAAGAAGGACGCAAAAGGACATACTGTATTAAGAACTGGAAAGAGACACGAAAAAGATGAATAGCAACGAGAAACAACTGAAAAGGATTGCTCATGACAGAGTTGGATGGAGAGTGATGGTGGGTGGCCTATGCTCCTTCGCGAAGTGTAGAAGGCGTAAGTAAGTAGCTATAAAGGGAACAACAACATTCAAGACCCGAATTATCAGAGTTCATTGGCTAGATTTTCAGATGATAATTTGAAAGACTCCATTTTGAACAAGCTACTCACGATGCATCTGGTGAATTGGTTCGCCAAAAATCAATATAAAAATAAAATTAATGAGTCAAAAAAAACCTAGGGTGTTCCAAGGAACAATCTCACAGTGTTGTGATTAGGATACTGATAAGTAAGGCACTAGTGAGTGGGACTATATTTATGTAGCGACGAATAAGAAATGACTACCAGACACTTATAAACGCAGAAAGATTGCCGAAAATTGGTTAATTTCGACGCGCCATGTCTCGTAGTCCTCATGATTTAATTAAACAGTGATAAGTAAATGCAAAAATAAATAGTTCTCGTACTAGAAACTGATGTTGGTCGTGTCCATTTCGCCAGACATAGCTAGCTGAAAGCGCTCGGCCAAGCATCTGCACCATGCAACTCTTGAGTAAGCCATCCAACTGATATACTACTGTTACCAGCACCTTAGATATCATACAACTGAACTTGGCCTGTAATTCAAATATTTTTTCCACTTTCTTATCCTCGACATCTGGTATTTTGTCTTTAAGAGAACCTTATTAAAAGAGTTTTAGGCAACGTTCCACAACACGTCTTCTGATACAAGAATCCCAAAGTCCATCAGAACAAAGGTTGAGAATAGAAGGGAGCGAAAAATTTACTGACTAATGGCTAACATGTTGAGGCCTTCTTTATCTAAGGGGAATTGTTGTCGAAGGAGATGGACATCACAGTAAATAAGCCACAGGTACCCGAAGTTTGACAATGCTTTTTCACGTAACACTCACATAATCAAAGTATACCGACCCAGTATGTGTGTCTAGTGAAACGAATACGCTCAATATCAGTATCAAAGACCTATAAAGCCATTTATTTCGGAGATTCTACTACCACTACAGCAGAACTGTCAAATGCTGCTTACCTTAATCCACTTAATTGGCAACAAGTTCCAAGGAATACCCAGGTAGACTACCCGGAGTTATTTAACCAGAACTAGTTTAAAATGCCTATCGAACTACTTTTTGTGTAGCTAATACACATACATAGAATAGGTTATTACAGTCTTCAGTTCTCAGTAGTAAAGATAGTAGGACTATCGACCTATATTAATCCTTGCAGTTTGTAACACTGGACAGGTCCGATCTCGTTTGGAATATATTAACAGAAGGTGCTGATAATGCGTTTTCTAGTAGAGAATTCCAATAGTCTGTAGTGACACTGGGCTCTAATACGAGACAGTGTGGGAAATAGACATTCAACATTTAACATGGAGAAAAACTCAACGATGAAATGGGCGGGGAGAATGAATTGAATTGATTGGAGTTGATCACATGGCAAGGCTCAGCCATGCAGGCGTGGTCCCTGCTGAATGTTATCTTATATTTCTTATTCATATTAAATAAATTGTCCTGTCTCTAGCCTTAGTTTGTCCTCTATCATGTATTGGTAATTGTTACAATGTAGTGAGTTGGTGTATACGGTGATGTGACTTCCACGTAACATATTACAGACTAGGTAGTTACATCATGACAGATCTACAATTATAGGATTAGGTCTATTATTAGAGCAGTACTAACAACGAAGGAAATCATAATCCTACAACTCCTCGTCATGGAGCATAGGTTTTTCACCAGTTTTCTCCACCCAATTTCGTCCTGGACAAACCTTCCCAGTGGAGTCCGGTTGTTATTCATCCTTTTGATGTCTACCTGCAATTCTCGATGCATTTTGTACGTGATTCTTCCTATTTTTCGTTTCCCTTCAGGATGTGAAGTTAGCGTTTGTCTCGTTTTACAACCTGGTGAGCCTCGTAATGTTCATCCTATCCACTTCCAGCATTTTTCCCTATTTCCTTTTCAGCTGGGGGCTGGTTTGTTCCCTTCCGCAGTAGGTTGCTGCTGATGGTATTAGACCAACGGACGCTGTGTATCTTTTGTAGACAATTATTTATAAATACTTGTTTTTTTGATGACGAATGTGATCGTTCTTTTAGTTTTAGCTTCGTATAGTTAGACTTTTTTTATGTTTGTATTGAGGATTCTGACTTCCATGTTCGCTTGCAGACAGCTGTCTTGATTTCCATTTATTCTTCATTAGTGAGTCCAATGAACCTCGTATGATGGTATCGAAATTCCCGTAGATGAAGCCCACGTTTCAGCCGTGACTGGATTGGAAGATGGCATAAAAAGAAGCAATTTAGAGATATGGTAATTGCCTAGTAATTGTAAACATATAGATTGAATAATATTTAAGTTGTTGAAGATATTTATCAACTATATTGTGATGAATATTTGTTGTCAGCTATTTGCTCGACAAACTACTGACCCAGACATTGTTTTTGCGTCTGAGCGACTGATGAAAATGTTTCATTTCGTTCGACGTTGTAAGTGTTAATCGACAGATACTTGACGCCTCATCTTTGTCGTTTTTTCTTTTTCTTTCACGAAGTATAACACTTTGGAACAAATAACTCGGGCCATGTTCTGCTTTTACACAAGTATTTATCTAATAATGGACGGAAATAATAAAAATTTATTATAATTTAGCTGCAAACATGACTGTTTACTAGCAAATACGGTTACTGTAAACTGTTAGGTTGATATTCATTAAGTGGTTGTGCTCCAGATCACGTTGTAAGATCCAAACTACGGTTTGGAGTGAAGGACAGCTGTCTGGATGAGTTAAATACGCGCCCTCGCCCGATTGAAACCAAAACAAAGTAATTGGGTAAGATGACGGTTCTATAATTTATCATAAATTTAAGTGTACATTATTACCTAAACAAATATAACCACTCAGCTATCCAACCAATAATTGTTCAATTGATCAAATCTAAACTACAATAAATAAGAAAGTTGATACAGGATGCAAGAAAATTACCAATCACCACAAATAACTGTTATTCTATCCTGTCTGGATAGATCACGTACAAGTTCGTTCAGAAGGTAATAATTGGTCGCTCTATAACACAGTGTTTTCAATTCTGGAAGAGTGCTTCAATTCACAACCAAAATGCACACTTCCAGTCAACACAGGTCAAGCAATCAAAAGCAGGGATAAACCAAAATGGCTGCCGTCCAGACTGAGTATAAAGTAAAACAACATAAGTGCAGATCGGGAAGAAAGATCTGGAATTAGTGAAGGTGTAGTAAAAACGAAAACTATAATAAAATACAAATATTAACAACTCAAATGTAGTCAAAAAGTTAACAATGTACAACTAAGAGGATCAATAGGAACAAAGTGCAAGTATATACATGGAGGGATTTTCACAAACACACAAAGCATTCAAAATGGATCTTACACACGTATCTTGAGTTAACAAACGTTCTTGAGTGCAAATACTAATGAATAACATAGCACTTAAAGATGAATTTCAGTTTCAGAATATGATGAGTGAATTCATCTTGACGAAGAGCAGCAAGAGTTTTGTTTTTCTGAAAAAGACTAGCTACTTGGGGCTGTCGCGATGCTTTTTAACGGTTAAAATGTTCTCAAAATACATGGTTCTTTAAGTCTTTGACATTGGTACTGATATCATAAGTTTTGCCGGACCCAGGTTAGATGAAAGCATACGGCCAAACATCCAAACCAGGTCACGGTTGCCTATCATGTACTCAGTTTAACTTGCTACTTTTCGACTTCAGCCAACGCATTACGGCATGTTGCACATGTAACTCAGTACATCGACCATTCGAAGCTGCATACGAAAGACATCATGAGGTTATTAAACATGAACCTAGGTATTGTGCCACAGATAAGAACGGAACTCAAAGCGAAATCAACATCGACCAACTATGATCCTTTTCTTTATGGTGCTTTACCTTCTACAACCAATTGGTTTCATCTACAATTTTTCGTAACAAAGACAAAACATGACAAGAATAGGCTTATTTTTAACATGCTTAAATGCATACATATTCGACTAAAAACAATCTATCTCTAGATATATCAACGTGCTCGTGTATTGCTTTTTACGAAATAATCGAAAGCAAAACACCGTTTTTGTGAAACATTTCTTGCTGGTGCATATACATATACTATAGTTTCGTCATGCTTTTTGTTGCGTGAGTAATCACAAGAGTATTTCAACATCAACTTACATTTTCAATATTTTTTGCATCACGCCTGGAAAATGTAAAAACCTGCAAACAGACGCCAGGAATAGAACTTTTTATTCGGCGTTTATTATGTGCCATATAGCTTATTAGAGTATCGAAAGGTAAGGGGATGATGGACACACTCAAGTCGAAGGCATTCAGTCAAGTATCCGTATCAGATCACAACTGGGAACGCCGAACTGTGCATCCTTTACAATAACTAGCCAACTTAGACCACATTTTTGTTGATCATTCGACTTTCTACTGAATATATATTTGAATTTCACTCCTGAATTCTGATCTGATTAAGTCCCCGATCCTAGATTATATAGGTGTTACCAAGACTAGCATATCCGTGATTCTTAAGGTTAATGCTATGTGGCCTACGTAGAGTAGATCTTTAGCAGGAGTTGGATTGAGTCGATTCATTGAGTTGGCAGACCTGAAGTTAGTTATCAGAGACTGTTTTCGCTACTGTCAAGATCAAGGAAGTCGATCCGAAATCAGCAACTTTCATTTATCTCTGATTAGTTTATCATAATCCTTCTCAAAGACGCTTGAATAAGTAGTAAACCGATAGTTTCCTAACTCTAAACGAGCTCTCATGTTCCACAAACGTCGTCGGAACTTGATTGTTTAAACGTTTCAATAGGGAATAATGAAGTTCATTTCTTTACTGGCACGATTTCGGTATTGCAGACATGTCATCTCCAGAAAACGTTTGACGTCTCATCGACAATTTTAGTTGGTCCATCCGGACCTTGGTTTACTATACACTTCTACTGAGCTCATTCGGTATGGCATGCTTAGCCTTTTTAAGTATTTAGTACTTGAAATTTTGCTAAGTATTTTTGTAAATATTTACATTTTGCTTAAACATCGTTTAGGCTGAATGCCACTACCTTTTTAGTGTGAAATGTTACTGTATAAGTTAGGCATTCCATGTTTTATTTCCGTTTATGTACAGTAAAAATAATCATTGGAGTGTAATTTGTCTGGAGACGATGGAAGCACTCAAAATATTTATCATAAAGTTCAAATGGTCGTTCCTTTTCTCGGAAATATTTTTGTATTTCAATGCTTGTGTTGAAGTTCATTAGATCCTTTGCATATTTGGCACATGTTGACTGGGGCTCTGTGCGTCTTATTGTTTGAAGGGTGAGTTAATAAGGCCATAGATAGTACTTTCGTTATAATAATCGTCAAACTAAATAAAATGGCAGAAAATCAATGCATTGTAGGTATCTTTCTTCTTGGTTTTGTGTCGTAAAGTTCTCTTGGATGTTTTGATTTTTCAGAAACGAAGAGACTTGGATTTTTGCCCAATGTATGAACTGGCTGGGAGGGTCTCCGAAGGCACAATGTACTGTGAAAAGGAAACAGTGTTATAAGTTCTGGAGACTTATAGTCGTCAAATACATCTGAAAGTTATTTATGAACCGGAGTTTATTGTATCATGATTTAAAATTTTTTGGATTTGTATCAGTTTTAACTGAAGAGGAAACACTAGATTCTCATTTAGTCTAATGTTTGAGATGAAGTAGACTAGGGAGCCTTATATCGTACATTGAGATGCATCAGTCGTCATAGTTTTTTATTGATCCAGTGCTCTATTTAATCTTGTCTCAATATTTTAATTTAATAAAAATCCCCTGCTAATCTTTCATGTTTCCTTAGTTTAAATCATCATGTAAATTCCATATACGACACCTTTCATTGTTTACTCAAATGAATAATGCATTAAATGCAAGTTATCTTTCCGGTCATAACCTAATATAAGCCCAAAATGAAGTTCTTCAAACGTAATCGGAATGTGTCGTCAGTGAAAGACTTTTATGCTGGTAGATTTTGTGTTACTATTGAGTGATGAATCTACTCATGACTATTTTTTCTAAAACGTTGACATACTTTCTAGTTGAACTATTAAACTGGTAATTGGGTACAAGTTGTCACTTTTTGGTTTAAAAAGTGATTCGAACTTGTGAGGATCATGTGTATTAACACTAAGAGTAGTTAACCTACAATGTCTTTAGATTCAGATTTGTGTAGTAAGGACAAAAGGCCTACTGCCTATGTTATTTTTTTCTTGTATGCTTCTGTGAGTGTCTAGTCTTCTCTTGAAAGAGTCAATTGAATGTGCGGACACCACTGCTTCAGGCAGCAGGTTCGAAGTATTAATGACTTGGTGTAAAAACCTGTATGCCACGGGTATTTTGTTCGTTCTTGGCTTTTCTACTCGCCTGCTATGTCATCTAAGGTGTCCCGATCTAGTGGAAAGAAAGAGAGAGAATAAGTTAGGTGATAGGTATGTAGGATGTAATATATGTGAAACTCAGGCTTAGTAGAGAGGATGCCATTGATATTGTTATGTTTCAAGGTGATTCGACTCATTGTAATGACTCATTTAGCTTTTAGCATCACTGCAGTCAGGTTTTGAATATGTCGAAAATCTAAATCTTCGGTGTCTGGTGAACGTGTTTATTTCATCCCGTGCATTTTTCAAGGATTTAGACAGATATGACTGATATGCACTAGCTGCTTTGAATAAACCGTATGTGATCTTACTATGAACGTGCTACAGACATAGCTAACTTTATCGTATTTGGTTTCAGTTGCGTCTTACACGGTTTCCATGAGTATACCTTAGGAATGTTTTAAATAGTTAACAACCCTTGTACCTTCCTATTAATCCCTTTACGTGTATATGATAATCCACGTAAAATGGGTAATTTGATAAGAAAAACCCTTGCCTCTTTTGGTTTAATCTTGGAATTTTCAACACTTGTTTATTTGAAGCCTCTGTACTGATAAATATGCTTTTTGAATGCAAACGAGATGTGATAGTCAAAATAAATGTCTCATATATAGTCAAGAGTGAGGGGACTACTTTATATGCCGTCACTTGTCTTAAATACAATAAACTACAATCAGATTTCAATATTGAAGGTAGCATCAAAGTCTTGATGAAACTTAACGGAAAGGTTCAGGTATGGTAATTTGTACTCTACTTTAAGGATTGTTGTTTTGCCAACATTGCAGGTTAGGGCAAAAACCACGATAGTTTGTTCCAGTTTCAGTTTGGAAAGTACAGGAAACTTGATGGTCTGTGTTAGTCCTGACAATTACGGCCTCTCAGTTGATCCATCTTCCTTTTGAAAGGGTCGACGGATGGAGCCTCAACCACGTGCCGAGGTAATGAGTTCCACTCGTTGATGTTTTGATGTGAAAGTCGATAGTCAGCTGACAAGTAATTTGTTCTGGGCTTGTGAACGTCTTTGGAGTGTCCTCGTAAATTCTCTGTTTTGGACGACAAGAAAAATGAGGGCATATCAGGTGCAAATTTATCACTAAGCAATTTGGAAACTGTAATCAAGTCGCCTCTAGTTCTACGATATGACAACGGGAAAAGGTTTGGTTTGGCCAGTCGAGCATCATACGGAAGCTTTGCTATTCCGGGAATCAGCTTAGTTGCCGTTCTCTGAACCTTTTCCAGAAGCTTACTGTCTTTTTAAGCAGGGGCTAGCCACTTGTATTCAGTACTCAAGTTTAGGACGTATAAACACTGTATGCAAAGTCAAAAACGTTCTAGCGTCGACATGACTAAAAGCCCCACGTATTGACCATAAGGTTTTAAAACCTTTGGGGACTATTGCACGGCAGTGTGCAGTAATCTTTAAGTCTTGACTAACGATGACTCCTAAGTCATTATGTGTCTGGAAGACAGGTAGCTCAGTGTTATTCACCGTGTATGTATCTGTACCTTGATGACCGATATGCATTATAACACACTTGGAAGTATTTATCGGCAACTGCCAAGTTTGAGACCATTCAGATAATTTCTTCAGGTCATTTGGGAGGTCTAAGCTATCACTCTTTCATCTCATCGTTCTCCATATCTTGACATCGTCAGCATATAGCAAGACCAATGATGATAGGAACCGGGGAAGGTCATTTACATAAAAGAGGAAAAGCACTTGCCCCAAAACTGTACCCTGGGGCACTCCACTAAGCACAGTTTCCCAGCTAGATAACTTTGAGTTCACACTTACTCTTTGTTGACTCCCAACTAAGAAGTCTTTTACCCACAACAATAAATTGCCTCCAATCCCGACTTTTCTTAACTTATATAACAGCCGGTTGTGCGGAACTTTGTCAAAAGCTTTGCTGAAATCAGTGTTGGCTACGTCTACAGGTAACTTTTAGTCCTTAATAGCACACCAGCTTTCACGAGCGACTAGTAAGTTAGTGAGACAAGAAAAACCTATTCTGAAACCGTGATGCTTCTCCGAAAGGAGCTGGTTTTCATCGAGGTACTTAAACAGCTCTTTCCGAATAATCTTTTCTAAAATCTTAACAACCACACTAGTTAGGCTGAAGTGTCGGTAATTCTCAGGTTTATGTTTCGTACCTGTTTTGAAAACAGGACTTACTATTGAGTTCTTCCAGTCTTTTGGTAAACGACCCTGCGTTACGGATAGATTAAAGCATATACTTAAAGGTTTCGCAACGAAGTGAGATAATTCCTTCAGTAGAATAGGATGCATTTCATCGGGCCCCGTGGATTTACCCATGTCAAGCTTATTTAGCATACCAAAGACATCTAGTTGTTTAATGGTCACGCTATCCAGTGTATGTGTGGGGGATTTGTATGCGCTTATGGGAAGGGTGCTCCCATGGTATATACATTACTAAAGTAGTTCGAGAACACTTGAGCCCTACCAAAGTTGTCCTTCACTAATGATGCAACAGTAGTGTCTCCCCATAGTGCGGGAATATTTTTTCTTCTTTTTGTCCTTTGGTTTATATAGGAATACAAGCGTTTAGGACATTCTATGGATTCCTTAACAATTTTTTCTTCGCACAACTTTCTAGACTTACGGAGGGTCAAGGCACAGGTATTCTGAGCTTCTCGATACCGAGATTTTGTCGCATCAGTCCCCAGTAACCTAAATCTATCCCACATTTTTCTTCTCTTACGGAGAAGGATGCGGACCTCTCTACTGAACCATGGTAGAGAGCTTCTCGGCTCCCTTGGTATAGTCCAAGTGATGTGGGGTGCGGTAACTTTTAAGCATAAATTTCGAAATGCGTCCCAAGCCGTTTCAATTGAGGACTCTGGATCTATTGTCCAATCTACTAACAATGCTGAGTGTGTGATATCTGGTATGTTTGCTTTCCAGACGTTAGGTCTGGATTGAGCTAACGAGTGCTCGTGATTGACAGTTATATGAAAGCTGAAACTGCGTGATCACTTTTACCTAGGGGTGGCGTGTAATGGAGGTTCGCAACGTCATCCTCATAGTGAGTCAATATAAGATCTAATAAGGATGATTCAGAGTCCGGGTCGTACTTAGTCGCTTCTTTCACATGTTGCACTAGAGCACATGTGATAACCACATCAACTAGTTCCTGCTCGAAGGAATTTTCTGACGATTCAGTTAGCAGATTTTCCCAGTCTACCATAGGTGCATTAAAGTCCCCTAGGATTAGACATCGACCACTTTGTGACCAGATATTGAGACTGCCTAGCAGGACCTCATTTACCTCACAGCTTGGACTGCGATAGACCAAACCAATCATCAGCTCTTGTCCCTTGCATTTTAAGCGAAGATTAACTAATTCACACGTCCCACTTTCATGGGATACACTATCGATAATGGCAAATGGGATAGCATTCCTAATGAATAGAGCTACTCCCCCTCCTTTACACTTTTGTATTCTGTCGGCCCTTACTAACGTAAAACCCTCGAAATCAAGTTCCATACTATCTATAGACTGTGTCAGCCAGGTTTCCGTGACTTCAATTATGTCTGACTTTGTAGAGTCAATCTGTACACCTAGTTCCGATCGCTTATTGAGTAAGCTTCGGGCATTAGTGTAACAGATCCGAAGCCTGTTTAAGTGGCTTCGTTCTTCACCCATAGTGGCTTCGGTATAATTTTCTGTCGAAGCTTTACAACCCGAAAAATTGCAACTTTTATGTCCTTTTCACCAGCGTCTAACCTAAGTTGTAGTTCTTTTTCGGCTTCCCGTCTTTTTACGTGGTCTGCCAACGGCAATTCCTTACGAATAAAAACTCCTGAACCCTTTAATTTATGTCCATTCTGTAAAATTAGGTCGAGTGCGTTCGAAGATTTGAATACTACTTTAAGCAGTCTGGATTGATTAGGCTTCAAGTTCGCTAGACTACCTAGTCTGTACACCTTTAGCAAGGTGAATCCGGGGATATTTTGAGGCATGAGTTGATTAAGTAGCTGTTTTATCAGCACAATGTCATGCTCTAAACGAGTTTTGAGTTCAGAGCTTTCACTCTCCTTCATTCTATGAAAAATAACTGATCTGTCACTGTGATCAGCCTTCGATTTCTCGACTACTTTTATGGGGGCAGGATTCCCTTTTATATCGTTATGTTGTGATAGTTTGTCATCAAGATATGTAATTACGTTATAGTAATCATTCGCCGTTCAAGATGTTTCTTTTGGTAACGTTGTTTTGTAAACAAAAACGACCAATATCCGTTCCTGATCATTACACATAAACGAACTTATGTGGTTAATCCATGTTAACAAATAAACAAATGATATCATGAAGACCGAATTGTGACCAAGGCTTTTTTAAGGCAGTCAATAAGATTATATCGTAAGTAAACACTTTTGATTTCCAAACAAATAGCGTTCGGTAATTTGTTTCTGAAAAGGATATTGTTCTAAAAGTAATAACAAGAATACATTCATAAGTTTATCAAGGTGATGAGATCCATCTTACTTTCAATAGGCTAACTAGTCCTCCGCTAGTTCATTGGTAGATAAATATTGTTGCATATGTCTCGTTGGAGAGAACATTTGATACGTTTTACTACTTCTTAGTAGACTCTGTCATTAAGTATCTAACGAACTTAATCACTCCTTAATGTGGCTTTATGAGCTAATAGCGGTCTTAACTCAAGCAACACCATAAAAAGGATAGAAAGTTTGTTCAGAGGATTACTACATAGTTTGTATAGTTAACAAATCTTTCTGCAATAATGAGTAAAACTATTAACACATAAAATCATGGAAAAAATATTTAGCTCAGGTAAACGATTTTGTTGGTGTAAAATTTTTAAAGCTTGTTTGGTTAACTGCGCAGCTTTCACCATAGTTCAAATAACACCATGAGGATCTACTTTAAACTTAGGGTATAAGTTTTACTTTAACTGTTTTATATGTACTCTCATTTTCAAGATTATTTTGAATCTCTAACGTATAATTAACCTCACTATTATTATGCAACCTGGATTGTTTAATTTTTTGTTATCTCCTTTCTTTCAGATCTGACTGTCCATCTACTGCCTGAGTGGATTTTTCAGATACAATCAGTGTTACTTTTGCGTTTCTTTTCTTTTTTGTTTCTAACAAATACACTTTCCTATGGTAATTAATTAAATCTGTTTGGGATTTGATAAATATATTTATATAACTATTAATCCTATTCTCATGATTGCTCAAAACTATTTACAAAATGTTCTTGCGCAAAAAGCTTTATTTTTATTGGTTCTTTCGGTAAATCTTATACTCTGCCTTTTAAAAATCAATGACTATATTCATATAAATGCGTGGTTTATGTTTATGCCACTTTGGTTATGGAATATTCTAGTGTTTGCGGGTTCGCTCATTTTATTCCTACTTAAATCTCTCAATTTAACCAAATTCTGTTTATTCTATTATGTTTATCAAGTTTTAATACTCACATTTCAAATATTTCTATGTATTAAACTAGAAACAAATGCATTAAATTGGTGTGTAGTCTTTATACCAATCTATTGTTTATGCGTTTTAGGATTTTTGACATTCACAAAAGCGTTTTACGAGTTAACTGTTTATGATTGTGAAAAATTTGTTGCATTAAATCTTCCATGTGTCATTCTAATTGCCTTACGTTTAGATAATTATATTAATTGGACATGGGTTGTAGTGTTAATACCATTCTGGATTATAATGGGATTTTTGATTGTATTGCTGTTATTCTTAGTTTGTATGTTATGTGGATTGAGTCGTTTCACTCAGAAAGATCTTTATGATGTTGTTTCAATGATTGGATCCACATCAATTGCATTTACTTTTCTTATATTCGTTGTTCTTCTGGTCTGCCGATTAGATAACATTAAACTGTTCACATATAATGAAATATTCTTACCATTATTTATTTGTATTTTGTTTTTGTTGATTATGACGATTTCCACAAATTGGTTAGTCAGTAAATTTTGTAGAAATATCAATGGTTCCGATGGAGGAAATTGTTTAGTGGAATATACCTCTGGATCTCGGTAAGCTTTTATCATTGTAGTTAAGGAAACATTTTAATTTACAGATTTATTAGTACACTGTTAACATGGTTTATATTTTGGCAATGACTACAATTTTATCACAAAGTGGTTGTAAGGCATATATCATTACTAGTCAAAGGTTGCTGAACCTCAAAAGTCAAGCACATATCAGCTTGTTCAAACTTTAAGCTGTAGATTGTAAGTGAAAATCACTGGCTGAAGTATTAAAGAATGAACAAATACTGAAGGTAGAGTGCATCAATCATCAGGTCGACATCTAACAACCATCTTTTCCATTCAGGTGTTTAACTGAGCTGTTAACTTAAAAATGTCTTTGGATGCTTCATTATTTCATAATTTTCTCTACTGTTAATCTCATTTTGCAAGGTAAAACATAAAGCATAGCTAATCCTATTGTTTATATATTGGCTGTCAAAGATGGTTCTCATTACGATTTAAATAATATGCGGATATTTAAAGTCGTTATTTCTGAATGAGACGAGATATTAGTAAGCAGAGTAAACTGCATACCTATGATTTTATAAATCTTGAGGAATATGTATGAATAATGCTGTATACAGAGGAATCAAATGTTTTACTACAAATTGTGCTTACTTCCAACTTGGAAAATAAAGGTAAAGATCTATAATTTAGTTTGTGACGCATTACTTGCCACTGACCTTTTATAATGGCAAGCGTCATTGTGCTGTTTAAAGCTACTTTGATTGTTAGTAAAACAGTTTCTTAATTGAATTAGGACAATATTGTCTGTGATGACTGGTTACTTTCGTCGAACGGTTATGGAGTTACAAATCCGGTCATTATGTTAAGCTAGCATCTGTAATTCATTCGGTACTCAATTTATTAACAATACTAAGTATAAGGTGGGTGAAACTACGTAGGATTTAAGCACTGGATTTTATTGACGGAGCATCAGTCCCAATATGGAAATCCTATCCACAGAGGATTGTCAACAAGTGTTGGACGGTTGCCCAGAACCTCGAAACATGCTTGTTAAATTAAAAAGTTTATTTAACCGAGTGAATAGATAAAAATTAACTATGTTATGACAAAGCAGGCAATAGGTATTTTATCCTACCATAACTTAGATGTTCTGTATGGTTTTCCATGTAAACAGTTTAGTACTATATTTGGCCTTCTATTGATTGATTATACTAAGCTCTTTGTATTCTATAGGTTACCAGCAAATACTTCGTTGGACCCTATTCAAGGAGGAAATACAAATGTTGCTAATATAACTGTTTCACGTGACAAGTATTCAGAAGTTCATCAGAATCTTACAAAGAACACTGCTTCTGAACCACTTGAAAACAGTATCGAAACAGTTATCTCACCCAATACAGATGCTCCTTGCAGTAATTTACTAACCAAAGAAAAACATTTTATTCATTCAAATAAACTAAACCAACCTATGATTAAAGAGAACTCTTTATCACTTCCGGATTAAGGTACCTAAATCTATTGACGATCGCGTATTGATTTTACAAATAATATTCTTACATTTGTAATCTCAAATATTGCTTATTTCTTAAATGCAATTGTAGAGGACAATGTTATTTCACTGTAATTTGTAAAACACGCTTTAACTTTTTATTTTTTTCTTCGTAAAAGACATTTATTACAATAAATCTGCTTAATTTGTGTTCAGATTAATAGATTTTGAGCGATTTTTAAAATCGTTATTCATGTCTGTGAAATAAGTGATCAATTCTGCTTTTTATAATGTTCATTTGTAACTGATACAACATTGAAATAAATCCCGAGAAAATGTTTTAAAAAATCAATAATGATTTTTGAGAATCTATGAGAATAATCAGTTTAATGAAAATTAATTCGGATAATTATTGGATTTTGGGACTAGATTTCACAATACTTTAATTTTTATTCAAAAAATGTTGTGTTAGTTTAATGTGTGTTTCCATGTCACAATTTAGAGGACAAATGAACGATAACTTTATTCATATTTCAGGTTAAGAAATATTTATGTATAGAAAACAGAAACCTGTTTATAAGAGAATTTCCTACTTTAACAGAGATCTAGTCTGAGTAATATTAAACAAAAGCCAACAACTTCACAACTGGAATTGAGCTTTGGTTTGTATGCAAGAAAATGATTTTCATGTTAGGCAAGGGGTAAAATTTGATAAGAATCTCTAAGATCCCCGAAGTAGTTACAGGTGTCGCAAACTCATCATTGCAAACACAGACGAGCGAACTTTTAAACACCGATTGTATGATTGAGAAACAATAGTTCCACCATACTTGGAGATCTCAATGTTTATCAACTGTGTGTAGACCACAGCTTAGTTTCAAAGTAGTTTAATGTTTTTAGAAGAAAATGAAAATCAAAAAGTTGAAGAGCACAGTTTATTCCATCAAAACAATAATAGTAATTTAGTAACAGTATATTTAGAAAAAATATATATTTATATAATTATGAATTAATAACTATTGAGCTTGCTGTCTAAAACACGATAAATTGTGTTTAACGACAGTGTTTTTTATTTGTACAACATATAGAAAAAGAATTACTGTCGACGAGGAAGTGAGCAAAAAGTGTTAGGATAAATTAAGGATTCAGAGTAAAATAAATCTTGGACATAAGAAATAGGAGTAAATCATTGAAATCAATGTGTGCATTGTGGGCACAGAATAAAATCTAAAATAAGGGAAGAATGAATGAAGAATATGGAGTAATTAATAGATAAAAAAATAGTTACATCTTCTGAATGAGCTGCATAAACAATTGAAACTCAAAAATGAAAGGAATTCCTATATATTGGGAATTCCGAGAGTGGTACAGATGGTGAAGATATAGAACTCATTTGTTTACATGTATGTAATATGAAAACAGAATTGTGTTTTATCGTTCATATACACAGCCTTTTTTGTTCGATTCACGTAATATTTGGTTATTACAGTAAGGTTTTGATTAATATAGACGTAAAGTGGCTTGTGAATAATACATTAATGTTACAATGTAATAAAAAGGAATGTGAGTTTATTGTACACAGGTTATCAGGTCTAAAGTTTGATTGATACAAAATGATTGAGTATTATATTAATATTCAATTATGAACGAATTTTACAAATAAAAGTTTGAGAAAATATGTTTGCAGTCAAGACTGATTACTGATTAATACAATGTTTGTTTCTTAGGATGTTTCTACCCCAATCCCTTCATGGTTATGGGACCCAATATGATTATTCCAACGCTCTTTATTTTTATCTTGTACTTCTTCTACGTTTTCGTTCTCTTCCTCGTCATCATCTTCATCCTCCACTTCACTAATGTTTTCTTCGTCATCGTCAGTTTGCTCTTCTTCATCAGCTTCTGGAATTGGCAATTTTACAAATTTATCTATATTTCGACTTAAATAAAACGAAACAGGGCGGCGTTGTACACGTGGACTGAAAGAAATTGGTAAATTATAATGATAAAAGAGCTGGTGTTCTTGTAGTTGGTGTAGACATTCCTCTTTTTCTTCTTGCACTAGATCTTGTTGTTGTTCATGTCGCTGTTGCAATGGTGGGACTGAATTTTCTACTTGTAAACTAGTGGGTGGGTTAGGATAGACTGTTTTTTCATTAACTGATTCGTGTACTGAAAAATGTTTAGAATTACCATCAGAATAATTTTTGTATGATGAAATTCTTTGCCTGCGATTATCACTGATTGTTACATGTTTACTATGACGAGAAGCTACGGAAACACCTGAAATCCTTTTAGATGAATGGGCATTCGATGATACAGTTCCGTTATTACGCTGTTTGATAGATCGAACAGTGTTAAATGGTCTTGTATCCATATTCCTTTTGATATTAGTGCCGACATTGTTCAAAGGCATGTTCTTCCAATTTATGGTGTATGTACTGTCAATTTGATACAAGGCAAATATGTGTAAATTACTAAAATAAACATTATAACTTGTATATAATTACTGAGGCCTTATATAGGGTATTAGTGAAAAGCAGAAGTTATTCGTCTAGGCGAAAATTCACTTTTTTTTAAGAACTGACGAAATTTAAGTGTGGATTTTGTTTGTCAGTATACTGAAATATCCGAGATACAATCCACTGTGGCACCGTGGACTGACAATCCTGAACATAAAAGTATTTCAAGCTGTTCTATGTTAGTTTTTATAAACTATTTTTAGTGTGTTTATAAATTTCGAAAGAACTTATCAGCTACTTCGTTACGTCAGAAGTTTCACCATAATTAAAAGCTTTAAGATTTTCTACTTACTTTTTTGTTTGGTTTGAAGAAAATACTAAATTTTTAATATGATCAAGTTTTTCTGAATTGTAACTCCCTGTGCTCAATAAGTCTAATGCTTCTACAAGACTGACCGAACGAGATTGTAAACGGCGTATTTCTTTGCATAAAGCACTAAATAACGAGTATGGTAGGTGAGGTTCTTGTGTGTCTGGTTTCTGTTCACCTAGGTAGATGAAATGGGAAAATGAAATAGTAAGAATATATGCATATTCTAAGAGTAAGGTATAAAAAATAAGTGAAGTTAATTGAGTCATGCTTGAATAAAGTCAACATAAGAATTGAAGAATAATAATATGAATTCATTTTATTTCGTGGTTTCTCATCAGACGCCTAAAGCTGACATTGATAATGTAAAGAATTAGAATTGCTCGATATTGTGACATGTACCAGTGTCACATTTTAATGTGAATATGGCTGTATACGGCTGATGAGAAACCATGAAATAAAATGAAATCACATTATCCCACCTCAATCGTTAATTTGGATTTATTAAAATCAATAAAGGGAACCAGCTGTATGAAAGTTTTGTTCTTTTATTTGACGCAGAACTAAGATTGCAAACTGTGAACAATTGGGTTTCCTCCCTTACGAAATCTAAATATACGCCAATAGTTATTTTCAGTCTAAAATAAAAACAATTATTCAGTGTCATCTGATTTTCAAGAGTCTTTCAGATGACCATAATATACTAAGCTTCGTCAAAACTCCCACTGATGTTCGATAAATGATTAGCTTAGGAGAATGATTTTCTTAGTTTTTTAGTCTTTAAACTCGATGGTTTAATTTTCATACTTTATCTTTTAGAACAACATAAGAATGAAATTTTAGAAAATCAACTATTAGAATTTCTCTACATGTAAGTGACCACTTGTTTTGTCGATATCGGATCTGTTAACTGTGTTATGATTGTCAGTTATGCAGTTTGAGATAACAACTAAAACTTTCCGGTAGAACCATTTCACACAGTTACAGCAACTCTGTAAAAATCATTTGTATTGATATTGTTTGACAGTAAACGTTCAGAGGTTTTTTTAAATACATCTCAGTGATTCTTTGTGGTGATTCTATAATGTTTTGGTAATATGGTTAATCTTGTATTATAGCTGAAAATGTTTATTGAGAAGTTTTCTTAAGTTTTCTTATGTATTATTCCACTAAGGTCACATCTAAGTAGCTGAGTAGAATTTGTAATAAATTTCTAAGTATTCACCTCAATCAAATGTGCATCGCTAAATAAACGAACCATTAAACTTCTGAAAATTGACTATCTAACATCATCTGATATTCTTATACATGGGCCATGTTATGGTTTTTATTTGAATAATTCGAAATATGTCTTAGAATAAATAATCAAGTGTAAAACTACTCACCATTATTGCTTATGCTGTCAGTATATTGTATTCGAATTGCTTTATTCGTTATATGGACTTTTGGAGATTTGTTTGACAGAAATTTAAGATTTTCGCGTAATTTTTGAATTTTCTCAATTTTGACTTGCCTTTCATTAGCCCAGACTTCGGACAATAAATCCATCTAGATTATTAATAAGGGAGTCACACGATAATGTAGGCTTATAATGAGAATTTTTAAGTGTCAAAAATCACATCAAGAAGTGAAAATAGATAAGGTGGAAGCTATTATTGCGTAATCTCGCGAAAACTTATACATTGGATGATGGTGTTCCTAATCTTGTGGGGTGTATCAATTTTATTTAGGTTATAGATACGTCTTACTGACTTCTTGAGATATAAAACAAGAGAGGGAGAGGTGGAGTGGTTGACGAAATTTATCCCTGTTTGGTGATTTTATTCTTGAAAATGTAAAATCACAAATGCACATCATGATTAAAATAGGAGTCGCTATAGAGCCTAGAAAAGTAATTAAACGAGAGAAGGGAACTAGGTAAAATGATTAGTTGCAGTAACAAAAGATTACAGAAGTTTTAAAATGAAATTTATTAGGTTAGTGTGATGAGGATAGCAGATTGTATGAAAGAAGTAGAGATGGAAAGTGAAGTAAAACGTGGTTTTTTTGAAAAATTGGTATTATAATTATGGAAGATGAAGAAAAGGTTGAGTGAGATTTTTTACCTACCAGATTAATTAATGTTCATTCTTACACACTGTTTTTATCTTGTAATCCAATAATCGAATAGGTTTCCCTTAGGAAAATCACAGTTGAAAAGACATATATATATTGCATACATTAAAGAGATAATTGGGCCATACGATGTGACTAAAAGCGATGAATTACAGGATAATGATCTCGTATAAAAAGTCATAACGAACAATATGTACTATTATTGAAACAACAGTTAACATAGGACTCTAAATCAGTCAGGTTATTCGTCAGTGACCTTAAAAATTTAATCTCAGTAATCGATAGGATAAGTATGTTAAGCAATTTCGGTCCACTTCTATGATATTCTTCAAACTATACTGACTAAGCAATGATTAGTTCTTCTTGACTTGTGGCCTAATATAACTTAGCTTTTCATATTTCGAAGACAAAAAGTGAAAGCTTTTA